TTTTTTTTTTTTTTTTAATAAATTATAATAATTTAATAAATTTAAAATATGTTTTACGTTTTGTAGGATGTCTAATTGGATGAAAAAATTGGGAATGAGAAAAGGGAAGGGGCCCCTGATTCGTCCTCCTGCAGATCCGGTGGAGGAGACTACTGCGGAACGGGAGGGCAGAACACACAACCGTAATGCTACCAGTTCTAAACGACGTGGGCGTGGGGAACGGACTGGTGCTTTTATACAACCACGTATGACGATCGAGGAGGAGGAGGAGGAGACGGAGGCAGAGCCCGAGCAGGAGATGGATGCATATATGGATCCGCTGGAGGATCGAGGGGTTATAGGGTAAATTCCACTTTCACCCCTTATACTTTGGTTCGATATTACTTTACCTTCTTCTACTCTCAATTGCATCGATTTCCCCCCTTGTACTTTGACTCGATATCATTTTACCCCATTCTATTCTCAATTGTATCAATTTGCCTCCCTGTACTTGAAACATTGTCTCAACGTGGCCATCGCCGTTAGTTTTCAGACTTTTGATCTTACACCGTTTGATCTAAGTATGAAAATTACTAAAAAAACCACCCCTCACAGTTTAAATAATTTTTAAAAAAATAAGAAAAACAAGAAAAACAAAAAATAAAATAATAAAAAATTCAAGACACCGAGAAAACATAGTCCACGACGCCAACTACAACTTATTTTTTATTTTATTAATTTTTTTATATGTCACCTAAGAATCTAAAAGTTTTATATTATTAGTTTTTGTTTTAGATAACTCGACCCGAAAATGATTTATAAAAAAAAATATTAAATCCCTCGATACTAAGAAATCTCGATTTTTTGGGGCTAGGTGTACACTAATATTGAAGGTAATAGATCAAATTTGGTGCATACTTCGTGGGCTCTGTTATCTCTCATTAATGCCGGACAGGTTAGTTAGTTAGGTGAACATAATAAGAAGTTTGAACTTTGTTACATAATTTTTGTGCATAAGTCTCTAACCAACCATCTTTATCATTTTAGGTTTAGGGGTTATATCTCTTTCACCAATAAGCTCATCTCTTTAATATTTATTATAAAGAGGAAATTACAATTTGCACCCCTGAACTATAGGGTTTGTCCCAATCACCCCCTAAACTATATAACTTAACAAAAAGGGTTAATAGCATTTTGCCACCTGTATTTTGCCCGTTTTGCGCTTTGCCACCTTAACTAAAAAAAGTTGCACGGGGACACCCAAACTCCTTTTTTTGACGCACATAACCACCTAAGGGGAATATTCCGGCGAATCTTCTCATTTTTCCGGCCCACGTGCGATGCACATGCTTAATGTGAGGACTTTTTAGTCTTTTAATCTGAAGATATCATGTGGGGTTAAAATTGAAAGTTCGAAAGGATGAAATTGAAAGATTGAAAGTTCCAAGGGGTGAAACTGAAAGATATTAAACTCTCATTCTTCTTCTTCAATGGAAGTCTATCCCCCATTAATCTGTTCTTTGAACTAACATCAACTTTTGAAAAAAAATCCAAGCTTTAAAAAAAATAAGGGGTTATCTTCTCTCATCAATTTAATCAAATTAAAAATCTTGTGAGGCGATCTTATTCCTCAATTTAGAACTTTCCTCGATGTTCCTCCTGATTGTCATATTGAGTTCCAAAAACGAAAGTTCCATATTGAGCCCATAGGTTTACTCTGGCCATGGATGATTGGGCAAAAATCTTCCTCACAAATTCCTCCTAGTTGCACACCACGCGACTCCACATGTTGCTGCTCTTCTTCTACTACTTCATTTGCACTGTATCCCATCTTTGTTTTCATAGTTGAAATTTTCACACAGACACATATCTAGAATGCAATTAATTTCAACATTTACTGTAAGCCACAAAAACAAATTGAGAGTTAGAAAGAAAGAGAGAGAATTTCCTGCATAGTGGAGCATTCGAAGCTTTGAAAAATATTAATGGGGAGAAACTCCCATAGAAGAAGACCCACTCCCATGGAAGAAGAAGAGCCATAACTCTATTTCAATTAATTTAGAATTTGGGCAAGTTTTAAATGAAGTTCAATTGAGTCCTTAAACTTTCAGTTTTATCCCACATGATATCTTCAGATTAAAAGACCAAAAAATCCATGTATTTAGTCATGTGCATCGCACGTGTGCCGGAATCTTTCAAGATTCGCCGGAATATTCCCCCCAGGTGGTTATGTGCGTAAAAAAAAGGAGTTTGGGTGTGCCCGTGCAACTTTTTTTAGTTAAGGTGGCAAAGCGCAAAAACGGGCAAAGTACAGGTGGCAAAATGCTATTAACCCTAACAAAAAGGCCCCTACCATTTTGGGTCAACATTAAACAGAATGACACCGTTAAGTTTTGAGTCATTTACATTTTTGCTCTCAAATCCCCTCCAAGTAAAATCATCTTTCGCTCCATCACCCAATCTTAATTTCATTGCTGCTCTCTCTTGTTTTTCGGTTCCTAAAAAACAAAAAAAATATAAGTTTATGTAAAAATCAGAAGATATATTAGACGGAGAGAAGGATTTGGCCAAAAATACATAATTAAATTATCCAAATTTCGGGGCTAAGTGTGTTGCTGTCTCGTTCTCCATTGTTAAGTGTATATTTTTACACGTAATCGTACCTTCTAATTGGAGCTTTTAGTGTGTTTTAACGACAATTGGTGCTTAAAATATTGATTATTTGTATTTTAGGTACAAATTGAAGAATTGGAAACTTATGGGGTAAAAACTGCAATTTCGGAGAAAAAGTGGGCCAAAAGTAAAAAAATCAAAACTTCGAAGAATAGAAGCCCGGAAGGCCGTCCGAGTTTCAGCATTAATTTTGACACGGCCGTCCGAGATCACGAGGAGGCGCAGTGAAGGAAGTTTAATTACACAAGGAAACCGCCTTCCTATATTTTTACACCCTATATAAGGCCAAGCCAAGCACACAATTGGACCTCTTATCTTTTTACACGCAATCTAGGAGCAACAGAAGAGAGCAACGAAGACAAAGACTTGACGAATCTTCATCATAGTTCTTCCTTTACTTTTATTTTCAACTTTTATGATTTTTTCGTATTTTTATTATGCTTTTCGTAGAGAACATGAGTAGCTAAGTTTTTAATCTAGGATTTTGTTGGAACCCTTTGTGGTGATTCGAACCTATTTTTCTAATATTATGCAAGTTTAAATTCCGTGATTATTTCTTCTATTTGATCTTATTTAGCGCATGAACGTAGCTAATTTATGTTGCTATATGTTATTGTTAGAATTGATTGACATATCGTTTTAATAATTAGAACAAGGATAGGAGAGCCTTCGAGTAGTTTTCACCGGATGAGTGTGTCAATTGCATGTGTTATCGTAGACATACAGATAATACCTTAGGTAGCCGTTTGCGAGACTTGTTATTTAATGCTTTATTCATAATTGGTTTGCATAGACATATAGTGAATCGTTTATGAATAATAGACTCATAATACACGCGACAACGGGTTATGAGTAATTTAGTGTCTTGGGTTAATAATCAAGAATCGTAACTTGCATGATAGAGGTTTACTTGGGTATTGAATTATCGCATAGGGGGGAGATAAAATCCTAGATTCGTTTTTATATTGATATTTTCTCGTGATTATTTGCTTTCTTAATTAGTTTAATTGTTTAATTGATTAAATTTGACAACCTTACATAGGCTGGATAAAAATCATAATTGTTAGAATTTGGTACTTAGGATTAGATAATTTAAGTATTCCCTGTGGGATCGACATCCGACTCTCACGAGTCCACTTTTACTACTTGTTTGCGATACGTGCATTTGCGTGTTAGGTATTTAGCCCAACAAATTCACAACAAGTAATTGTTCATCCGGAAAGTTTTCACTAATGGAAATTTTATCTTTCAGTTTATTCTCTAACCTAGATAAATGACTGGCTACTTGGTTCTCGCTACCCATACGATCATGAATTTTCAAATCAAATTCTTGCAGTAATAAGACTCACCTAATAAGTCTAGTGTTACGTGGTAATTGAACAAAGAAATATAGTTTCAAGAATTAAAAAGAATATTTTGAGAGATATGAATTAGGAAGGAATAAAGAGGGGAATTAAGAGAAGACAAATGGAGATTAACTGATTCTTAAACTTCATATCACGTAACACTCTAATTATCCTATTTATAATACCCATAAATAATAATTAAACTACCATCCCACTAACCTCTTAACTACAGTACCTCACTAATTTAATTCACGCCAACTAATAAAAACTACCCACTAACATATAACTTGACTAATTCTAATTAACTTAAATAATAACATATATCATTCCCGCCCGCTCAAAATATCCTTGTCCTCAAGGATATAGTCTTGATACGTGTATGGGAACATTTTGCTAATTCAGTTGGTCGGGTGGTCCATCAATTATTTGAGAGAGTTGCTCGAACTCTTCATGATAAATGGCATCAATGAGTGTTTGTTTTATGAAACGAGTGAGGGCTTCGGAAGGATCGTCAAATTCGGTAGGGCTAAAACGGTAGAGCACGCCTTAGTAAAATCTTCCCCTACTGACGAGCCCTTGAACCTAATTAACCAGCGATTTCGTTCCAAAGTGAGTCCTTCCAAACAGAATGAATCGAGGTGCACCTGCTGATCTTGGACAATAATTTGAAATTCCAAAATATTGCTTGGCTTGAAAAAAATATTCCATTGCGTTTTCCGCGACGACTTTTGAGATTTGTTGTTTGAGGTTTGTATTTGGGGCAGGATTTGGAGTTGAGTGTGTTGTAGGTATATTTATTTTTTGCTTGACTGGTAGTGATATTTCTGTTGGTATAATTAATAACAATCTGCGTAAATTGAAAATACTTACTTGTTTGTCGAAAAGAGGAATTGTGAAAACTACAAAGAACGATCGAGGCTTGCCAAAGCAATTCCCTTAAGACAATATTTTCGGGCTGTCAACGGTGCACAGTCTCTTCCCGGTAGTCTCCCAAGGTACAACGATCGGTTGTCAAATATTTGCACGAATATTCGACCCACGGCGAACTTGAACAACGAACGAAACTTTGACGAAGGGAAATAAGAATATGAAGAACTATCTCGTAATTGCCGATTAAATTCAGTACAGAATTGGCCAGATTCTGCCTTTATTTATAGGCGGTGGAAATCCATTCATGGAGGGTTGCAATGGTTGAAGAAGAAGTAGAAGGTTGTGTCTCTTCTTTTTACGAGTTCAAAAAGCATAGGCAAATTAATTGGTCATGGGCCAATTAATTAAATATTTGGTTTGGGCCAAATATTTTATTATTTAGATTTTGGGTCAATTAATTTGACTAATTACTAAATGT